TCTTTGTGGAGGCCATAGTGGTTACTTGGCCATACTTCACCACGCCGGTCAGTGCGTTTTTGGTAAAGGTGGTGACAATAGACGGGGGTAGCATGGAAGTACAGTGCAACAGTGCATTTGGCTGCACTTCTTTTCTGCTGACCGCCCATGTAGCGCCGAAGCTGCCTGTGACAAACATGGTGTGCATGGTTGTCGTCCATCCGGACGCGAGCCAGATTCCGACCTGCTTAGCTTCCGAGGTCTGACAACATTGGGTGCCTTGTTTGATCAAGTGTGATTTGGGTCAAAGCCGTTTGAACGCACGTGTACAAAATGTACTGTCTCTCTGTGAATGGCTTGCTGTGACGACGATTAAGAGGAAAACACGATTTTTTTAAAAATAGTTCACAAGAAAATTAGCTGACTTCTCGGGCAGTTTGCGTCACGTATTTTGGGCTGCGATGGAGGGGGGCGGGAATGAATGGCCCTTTTTGAGGTTGATGTTGATTTTTCTTTGAGTGATGCCATCTCCAAGAATTTGCTCCCCCCCCACCCACCCCAGCGTTGACACCACAACCCAGCCCTCAACCCCTACCCCAAAGGACGAATCAATTTGCCTCATCTCTTGCCTTGTTAAGTGTTGCTACTCATTCATCTTCATCATCGTCCGCCATGATCTACCCACTGCTTGATGAAGGCCACTCCCAGCCGATGTTATCTCTCATCATCTCGCGATGCCGTGATTCATCAAAACTTGTGCACACGATCTGAACTCATCGCTCCACCTCCCCAACTGCCGAGAAGCGTAAACCGTCACGCAAACTCCGGTCATCCTCGCATCAGCGGCAGGGCTTTTGGTTGGCCATCGAGTCAAAGACGGTCACTGCACCGTGCGCTTTCAGATGCGCTTCTGCGGCCGTCTGGAACTCTCTTCCTTTTGATATTAGAAAGCCACTGGAGCAATGGACTTTTCAATCATCTAGATTGAAAACTAATTTCTTTTAGAAATTATTTTTGTGTTCAGTTTGTTGTCCTTCCCCCGCACCTCCGATTAGCACGGTTGTTTGTTATTCCAAGCTTGCACCTCAATCAGGGGCGGAGCCACAAGGGGGGCTGGGGGGGGCTCAGCTCCCCCTGAAATTTTGGGAAAGTCGGTAATCGGGATAACCGGATATCCGGCTGCTGCAAAATGCTGGCTACCACCTTGTGCTGCCCTGCAGGCTACTTGAGCTGTAGCCTTTTGGACTTATCGAACTTATTAGCCACGTCAGCAGCTCCGACCTATTAATAAACTCTGCGTTCAAATACAATAAAATTTGTTTAATACATTTGTGGCGCCCATTGGAAAACATAAACACTGGATATCTCAGAATATTGAAGTCAGCCCCCCCAAAGTCAAAATCCTGGCTCCGCCCCGACCTCAATCATGCTTCTTTGCACACTTTCCAACTTTTTGTCAGTGTCACAAGATGTCCGATCCACGTGGCATATAATAAATAAATAAATAAAGATTCTTCATACGGCCAGATTGATTTGCTATGAAGAAGGACCAATTCCAAATTTGTCGTCCTAGTACATATTTTTTCCTTTCAAGGCCGCAGTGTTACTGAATAATGTGAGGCTTGTGTTATTTGTGCGTCGTGCGATAGGTGGTTCGTTGTGTATAACGGTGTTTAACTGAGGCTTAGTTAGTTTGTTTGAGTAGAGCAGAAGTATTAGCTCGGCATTGAGTTTCAAATGCCAACTCGGGTTGACTCAGCCTCTCATCCTCCCTCGTGTCAGCAATATTATCTTTCTTCTGTTTATCAATGCACAAACATTTAGTCAGTCTATTGGGAGAGGGGAAGGGGGGACTAGTTTATCTAAATCTAAAAATAGTTGTATACATGCGTTTAAACGCAGCGCATGTTTATAAAATATGCTAAATATAACGGTGGTATGTCCGTTTGGCAGCATTCAAAGCACATTTTTGAGTAGAACAAATGCCTCGCAGTGACCTTGTTTGCTTTAAGTAACACAACCCTCCCCTTCGATCTCTGAATCGGAGCAAAATGAGCATATGAAATATATTGGCAATGAACCAGGCCTTGAGAGTGTTGAGAATGGTGTGACGGTGACGATAGATATCACAGGACTTGACGGTGAAGTCGGATAATGACCATGGTAGCTTATTTGTTTCATGGGTCATTGGCATCAAGAGCGAGCAAGTTGGCTTATCTGAGTGCGTGCACTTGTGCTTTCAGTTTTAAGCATGTAAGTGATATTTCACCACATTTTCCTCCATATGGCCTCAGAGTAGCAATATTTATTTCGTAAAAAAATTGGGTCAAAAGACAAAATATTGTTTTTAAAATATGTTTTTTTAAGTAATGAGGTGGTCGGGTGCCTCAAAGTTCCCAAACACTGAGCTGGCACAGCCGAGACCTCAGTTTGAATCCAGGCAGGCCGCCTGTGATAAAATTGGGTTGTCAAGTGTAGTGAGTTGATGATCTCAGTTCGGTCGCCGATGACTGCATGAAAAACCATCAAGTAAAATGTTAGTTTAACACGTAGGCTTTCGCGAACAATGTTATTCATAATAAAGGTTTTTGGGTTAGATCGCACAAGTATAAATGTGTCAAAAACCTCCAGCACTCGATACAGACAATTAGTAAGGGATTTGTCACGTAAACAAAACGCCAAATAGTTACTACTTCAGCCCACCGGTGTGTGGGGCAATTCGCCCGATGATGCTGGATGTAATTACGAGCGAAACGTCGGACTCAAATTGTAAATGTTGTGGATTTACTCTCCAACACACTGGTGGGCTGAAGTAGTAACTATTTGGCGTTTTGTTTACGTGACAAATCCCTGACTAATTGGCTGTTTTGGGTGGTTGAGGGTTTCAACACATTTATACTTACGCGATTTAACCCAAAAACCTTTATTATGAAGTTAAATGTTGTTCGGCGCTTAATCTGGCTCGACTCCAGCTCAGAGTATTAAAAATAATATCAGGTAATGGAAGTGGTGCCAACTGCTGTGTGGACCAAAGGTCACTTGAAGACATCTCAGCAGTAGCTCGGTAATATCCATTTTCATGGGTCATTCTATAACACGAAGGGTTGCACCACACTGCGGAAGATCTGAATGGATCGTCTCATGACTTGGGTAACTAGAGCACATTCGGTACACATTTGGGGAGAATTAAGAAAAGATAAAAACTAAAAGTGTAAGCCCGCTTGCTTGGTTTGCCGCATTGGCTCCAGCCAAGCTATTGTGGGAGCTGTGGCCGAGGCTCGCAGCCTCGGGCAGGAGCTGCTCTGGCTCACTTTCCATGTCATAGAAACGCAACACAAGGTTGAGATTCACTACAGGGCCTAGGCCTGACATTCATTCCAATTCTGTTAACTTGATTCATTCTTTAAGGGGTTTTTCTTTTTCGTAATATGGCTTTTAAATATTTGATCGGAACGGTTCTTGTGTGTGTAGGGACTAATCCGCGTTGTATCATTCCTGACTGGTCCTGTTCCAATGGCTGTTGTATTTCATAATGCTGATGATCATGAACATGATGATGCACCATGCACTCAGTGCTCGGATACACTGGGGCTTCTTAAGAGGAGGTATCAATATTCCCCACAACCAAAACGCTGTCATGTCATCTACACCACAAAGTGTATGCCATCGTTACATCACATAAGATGCTATTCATCCTCATAAGTCACGATCGACCCACTGCTGGATGAAGCCATCCCCCAAGCCATAACCTTCTCTCGCGGTTTTGCGATGCAATAAACCTCTTTCACACCAGCTGATCTCATCACCTCATCTCCGTTGTGGACGTACTCTGAGGCGAGTTCACTCCTTTGGCCGCCACTCTGCCATTATTCCAGACCATCAGCCATCGTTTCTTCTTATTCTTCTTCGAGAGAAACATGTCTTGCCCAATCCTACTTTTATTAGCAGCCCAATATGATTTCTTTACCACGTACTATTTAACATCTAATGGGTCGCCCATTTGAATATGCCCATTGCCTTGCGATATGAGTGTTGTTGGCTTACAATGTCATGGTCAAGCATAATGAGAGTGGCAGTCAGGGACGGGTACGCATCTATTGAGCAGATGGAGCGACGAAATCGGCTCGCCTGGTGGATTATTTCAGCGAAGGATCGCGAGCTCTGGCAGCAGATTTGGGAAAACCTTCATCCAGCAGTAGATTGACCGTGGCCGCTGACGCTACTGCCCACCGATGGTGAATTTGGGCAGCCATTTGAATTTGTCCATTGGCTGCCCGTTTGCGGGGGCGTTGGGAGCATCGTCGGCTTACAGCATCCGCATGGCAAGGATGGGTCCTGGGCTGCCGTGCGGTGTGACGGCAGAGGCATCAATAGCTGGGCAGGTCGTGTTCCGATTGCCATGACGTAGCTACAAGGGCACTTCGTTGAAGTGGATGCAGTCGCTATTCTCGGTTTTTGTCGCCATAGGTTTGTTTAATCCTTTGCCCGTGAGAGCGGACTTTACGTCCATGTGCATGCATATTCGTATGAATTACGAAATTAGCATTTTTATTTTTGGTCCGTCCAAGCTGTTGCGGTTCACAGAGATGTTTTTCTTTTACTGCGGCAACTCATGCCATTTTTGTTGCCAGTTGTTGATCGATTTGTCAGTTAATTTGGTGAATTTTTTTTACCAAAATTACCCATGAAAATTGCTTTTATTCGAAGCAATAAATGGCCTGATTGATACGAAATTGCAAAACATTTTGAAACATTTCCGTTTCTGAAGTTGCATTTGCGTTACATCAAAATGCGTTTTCTGGCCACTGAATGAAAATTGTATTAAGGCATAACACATATATTTAAAAAAAAATAGGGGACACAATTTATCTTCTTTGGTTCTTTCGGTAAAGTCACGTAGAATGAGGATAAAATAATAATTATAATAATATTATAATAATATAATATATTATTATATTCTCATTCCATTTCGGTAAAGGCACGTAGAATGAGAATAAAATAATACTTATAATATTATAATAATATAATGATGAATCCTTGCAGTCACGAAAGCTTTAAATCGAAAGACGCAATTTATATTGTGTCTTTGCGTGCTCATTAGTTCTCAGTTCATATCGCCTGCCTGGGCTGAGTGCCAGGACCCCTCCTTCCTTGCATAGGTGTCCAGTGAGCTTCACCCCGGCGCCTGCCTCTGCACCGTCACCACCGTAGTAGCTACGTGCATCGCCGTCTGTGGATTAGGAGGCCCCTTTTGCGGCTCGTCGTTCTTTTCTGAACGGAGAGCGAGGCTGAGCGCATCCTGCCAGCATTTCGGCCGCTGCTGGTTTAGCGGGTTTTGAAAGGGGGGGGGGGTAGGCGGAAAAAAAGCCAACCTCGCATCATTGATTTATTTGTGGATCGTATGATGTGCTCGCGCCCGCGAAAGGTTTAGGGGAGGAGGAAATCAGTGTGGATAGAGGGAAAGAAGAGAGCGATACAGACATAATCAGAGACGGTGATAATCCTGCTGTGTAATCTAAATCAGAAGACGGTGGAAGAAGAGGCTTTGTGCACTGTGTGGAATTCGACGAGGAATACATTTGCCAAAAAAAAAAATTTGAGCTTGCACGCACGCACGCGCGTGTGGTGGTGGTGGTGGTAGGACGAACCAAGCGGGAATCCCTCAAGGTGGAAAGGAAAACAGAGAGGAGAGGGAGGTTGGGGCTGGTGGTGGGGGGGGTGGTAGCTGCCATTGCTGGCTGCTGCTACTGGCTGCTGCTGCTACTGCTGCGGCGACGGCACCATCAGAGGCCGCAATCCGTGGCCTTCGTGTGTTTACACGAAGGCTATCGCCCGGGCTACGGGCGCACGTCTCCCCGTGCGTTGCTGGGCCGTCGAGTCTCGGGGGAGGCGGCCGCGGCGCACCATTGCGATCGCTCGAGACCCCCCTTGGTGGCGGGGGGGAGGGCAGTGGACCGACGTCCCGGGGACGCGCGCCTTCGGATGCACGTGCAAATTGCGCCGTTCGTTGTTGACGCTGCCGTCTCGACCGCCGTCTCTCTCTCTTTCTCTCCCTTTCTTTCTTGCGGTGGCGACGACTCGGCCCGCATCCCTTCCTCGCAAGACGACATTGAGGAGCTCGGCGCCCAGAATTCTGCAGCGCCCGGTGTGATGGTGGTGGGTTGCGGGGGTGGGTAGGTAGAATGTTAATGACGGCGGCTGCAGGTCGGTCCGAACGTGCCCGGGTTTGATGACTTGCCGCGCACGTGTTTGGTGCCGTGCGTGCGCCGGGCCTGCGCTTAGGGTGGAGCGGTGAAAGCGCTGCGAAAACTGGCGAAGCCGAGGTTACGATTCACCGCCAATACCGGTGACGGATTATCTGAACCGGTCCCGGGCCTCCCCTAGGTCGACTCGGCCTCAAGCGAGTGCAGTACTCCGGTGCGACGTGCAAGCATCGCCCACCCACCACCCCCTCCAGGGAGACAAAGGCGGCCCCGCCCGTGGTGGTAGCCACCCCACTTCTCTCGCTCGCTTATAGCAACTTGCCCCAAAAGTCCGCTGAGGCTGTACGGGGGACCTTTGCCTTGTACCGGGCCTGCACCCGCAGATTTGCAAAGCCCAGAGGAGGAGTGCATCGATTTATTTTCACCTTCCGTTGAATATTGAAGGAATGATCGTATTTTTGGACGTAATAATAATGGACACACTTTTACATTGACTTTCTCGAAGACCTCATTCAGCACGCCTCTCCAGGGATGATTGGAACTGAAGTATTAAGAAGAAAACTTGCTGGATGCTTAAGAGCTCCATTGTGACGCTGTGTGAAGGGGGGTCGTTGGACTTCAAACAAAAAGGCAAAGCTGAAGACGCCGGAATACGACGAGGGGGGTGGGGAGACAAGAAAAAAAACACGAATAATTTGTAAGGGAGAGGACACGTTATTCTATATGACAAGAAGAACGTGCATTGCTCTTCGAATGTTGACAACGGAGATCTTCAGGACATTGGGAAGAGAGGCCACCAGAAGAGATGCCCCTTTTAGATGCTTTCTGCGACGTCTGCCCTAAGCCGTGGATCATGGGATGCTGGGGTCAGGTGAGTTACGGTTTGTGGTTTACTTTGTCAAAAAGTTGTCTCTGGTTGCTCCGGTTTCCTTCCCACGTGAAGCCAAAACATTTCACGAACGGTACTGGAATTGGCATAAATACATAAATACCCCAGCCCAATGCGGCAGGAGCCTCTTGGAAAAGTATTGAGATTCGCGGGAGATTTTCACTGTTTGTGTCGTGTTATAACTTACGCTGGGTTTGAATGGGGATGCTCTATGCACTTAGACGCATTGTAGTTCTTTGGTGAAAGAGAGGCGGAAACTTTTGAACAAATAATTTATTTGCAAAGCTATACAAAGTGTCATCGCATCATTCACAAATACAAAATGATTGTCCAAACATTGTTGAGCATTATACCCTGCAGGGGGAAGGTCTGTCTGTTCACGTTTTAAGTTAAAATGTAATGCCATGCGTTTTGTTTTGCTACCACAATGATTGGCATTGCAGATATTGCGCTCTCGGCTAACGTTATTTTATTCAGTACGCTGACATTGGTCGTGATTAAAGCGTTATAATTTGAACACTTCAAGTTGTTACATTTGAATTTCGTTTGACCTTTCAAAGCAATACGAACCAATGGGAAAACGCACCTGATCAAAGCATGTTTCGGAAATATAAATAATTTCCCCGACGTGAATATTCTTTTGTACACTTATATTTAGTTGAATTCCAGGATTCGTGAATGACTTTAATGAAATACAAAAAAAACAGTTTTGAATGTGGCCTTGAGGTGTCCGGGAGGTGGCAGTGTTGATTGTCACAGCCAAATCTGTGCTTGGTCATCTACGAATACAGTCCTCCAGGTTCCTTCCCACATGAAGCCAACCACATTCACGGGATTAACCAGACATCCCCATGCGGGACACCTCCAGAAAAGAAAAAAAAATCATTGGGAGACTCTGTGAGGTAAATAATTTTGCCGTTCGATAATTCGCATTGTTACGAGAAAATACAGCGGCTCTGTAAAGCAATATACCTTCTTGGATATTTCAACCAGTGAACGGTGTAAATTTTTGTTTCCACCTTTTCAATGATCGCAACAGAATAATAAAACCCACGTTAATACAAATCCTCCGTTAAGTGGGTTTGTATTCAGACATCGCGATGAATAATTATGCTTTGTGTGTGTAGCGTGGGGGGGTAGGTTGCTGTTGAGGTTCATACATTTTTTTTCTGTATTCAAATGTTGGCTTTGACACAAGGCTCATTGGAGCTGATTGTAACCGTGCAGGACCGCAAGATGTCCAGGCCCCTGCGTGCTGCGCAGTTGATGCCAGAAGGAGGCACGCGTGCACCCCAATACGGTGCGCGACGTACCGCCTGCGCGCTCCCATTCATTCATTCGTTCGTTCATTCATCCACGGCGTCCATTCATTCATCCGCCCGCCTGGATTGGGCCGTAGCGCGATAAGGTCAATTGTGTCTCGGCCGTATAGGGCGGCTTCCCTTGACCCTACCTGTCACCTTCACAATGCTTGGCTGAAATAGATACGGGATGTATTGAGCCGGCGGACCTGAGGATGGGGTGGCGCGGGATTGGGGGGGGGGGGAAATGCGTACGAAAATACTGCCGCTGGTCCGGATGTGCAATAGCATTGATGATCCGTTCAATAAATGTACTATTATTATTTAAGTATATATATACACACGAGTGAGCAGGACGCTGCCGTGGTGCAGTGTTTGCAATAACACAGAGAACCGTGTATAAAAAGTGCACGGCCTTGTGCGTTCTATGCGAAAACCACCAACAGTTTCTGATGAACTGCATTGTGGTCCTCTTGGCACCATCAAAGAAAAAAAATGAGCAGAATGTGACCAACGGACTTGCAGCAATGGGAAACAGAGACACAACTATAGACCGGTTTCACAATGATTAGGAGAGTATAATCATGGTGAGTCTTGATTATTTTCACTGGACTTGAAATCTAGAGGTCGCCGGTTCGATCTCCTGGCGTGTCGGTTAAATCATTGAGCATTTTTTTTGTCTCTCCCATGCCTCATTCAGCAATATATATGAATGCAGAACAGATCGTTGATCGGCAGGTCGAGTTGAGTGCAGGTCCTCCCACCTGCAGATATGGCCAGTGTGGAAGAGTAGGCCAAAATAACCCTGAGAGGGGGGGGGGTTTCTATGACTGTCTTGGAGGCCCTTTGGTTACCAGTAGAGCGAGCAAGCAATTGCATGGTGACATATTTGGCTAGTAAAAAGATTGCCTGCATTATGCTTGTCTAGTTTCCTTCAAAGTGGATTACGATCAGTTGCTAATGCCATTAGACCTGTTTGGGTCGAGGAGCTGACTTTGAGAAAGCTTTCCCATCCTTTGAATGCCGAGCTATGTGCACAATTCTCCACCTAGTGGGGAGCTGTGGTGTACGTACGTATTTTGAGCTTCTTTCGCACCGTACGTAACCAACCGTGCCAACCGTACTATTTGGAGCTGTGTAATGGTTAGCGTGCTGACGTGTGAACCCTGAGACCAGAGTTCGATGCCTTGCCACGGCTAACATCAGTGGCGAGCGACAGCTGAAATTGTTTCGTTGCCCTCCCCTAGGTTGGCCCAGCGTTTTGTACCTGGTGCGGTGTGTAAACAGCACTGAGGAGACAAGGGCGGTAGGGTGTGGTGCTGACCACACTGATACGCTGAGTGCAGTGCTGACCATCATAATGAGGGCTCGCAAGCAGCGCTTGCCGCAACAATCTGTTGAAGGGTATAGGCGGGATATTTGTCTTTATTTATTCCGTATGCAGTTCTCACAAACGTCAGGTGTCATAGACATTTCCTCGACACGTTGTCCATTGGCGATCCTCGGGTATCAGTGAAAATGTATATTTGGGAACAGTTCTCCGTCACAAATGTAATAGCTCATTGAACGTAACGGTGAGATCATCCGTTGTGCGGGGGCAAGATGGATTGTTGCAGCACAACACCGTGAGCTATGGCGACAGCTCGGAGTGACCTTCATCCTGCAGTGGATAGATCATTGGCTGCTGTTAATGATCATGATATTATCATCATAAGAATGTAATGGAATGCAATTTGGATGACGGGCCAAAATAGCAACACAATTGGAATACAACTCTACAAGACGACGGTTCATATCGCCTACATGCATTGAGCTTGTGTCAAGAGGCAGCCAAACAATGTGGACACCAGTAATGTGACAGATTATATGAGCAACTGTGTTGACAAACAGAATACTGTCGTATAGAGAGTACATAGTCACCCCTTCAACAAATAGAATTGAAAAAACATGGGGGGGGGAAAGAACCCGTTATGTTAGTCAATAATGTTAGTCAATTAAACGTAATTATTTTTGTTTTAAAGCAACAAAGAATTGAGGTGGTGTTTTTTTATTTACTGTAGCCCATTATTTTTTTTTATTTAATTCATGAAGATTACGTATTTTTTTGTGTGCTGACAAAATGGAGTCTAGCTCCACAGATGGTGAAATATTTTGTTGCATTTCATCTCAGTAATACTCGGCTTCATCATCATCCGTGGCCAATCCACTGCTAGATGAAGGCCTCCCCAAGCCGTCATCACTACCTCTCACGATCCCGCGATGTAACAATCCACCCAGCACCTGCACAGTTAATTTTAATCACTCCATCTCCCTGCTTGACGTAATCTCGGACGCGTTGAACATTCCTTGAGTGTAACACTGCAACGCGGAAGGATACCACGAGGAAGCTGATTCTTTGTTCATGAAACTGGTCGATGGAATCTGATTGCTCGTAAATAGGCGTAGGTTTTGGTGGACTGGTGGCATAGCCGTTGGCGGACTGGGCCGTGCACTTGGCGGCCTGAGATTGATTCCCGGCCGTGGCTAACATCCCCGGCGAGTGATATCTGAACCAGTCTTGCCTCCTTTCCCACCTCACACTGACCAGGGTGGTGAAGTATGGTCAAACAATCCCCATGACTCGCACAGCATGGGGGGCCTTCATCCAGCAATGGATTGACAAAAGGCCATCTTTACATTGTTATATCATTCTAAGTGTACCCCTAACCCCGAATGGGAAATGTCAAAATCTTGCAGATAAAACGAAGCTAGATTTAATTCAATCATTCGTATTCTGTAGGGCTTTTTCCTTACCATACATTTAATCTCATGTATTCAGTCATTTTTCTGTTGTCATAAACCACTGCCTGCCTGTCCAAAGTTAAACATAAAAAAACATACCTGTTTAGCCTGGCTTTCATAGATGAAGACTACATTCATTTTACAAAACGTATGGCTGTGGATCAACATAATTTCTATTATATAATCGCTTGGTTTTAAACATTTAAAGGAGGATAATTTTACGTACAGAGACCTGGGACTTAAGAAAGTCGGCCTCAAAGAAATACAGTTTGATTAATTGACTGCAGTGTACGAGTTGGCGCGTTACAACATTAATTGCATTACGCTCCTCAAGCCGGAAATGGTATAATGCATGTGGGAGATGGACGTGTGTTTTGGTTTACTGCGTGGTATCGTTTAACGCCACGCACAAAAAAATGCACTGTGAAAAAAGATTCTCAGCCTTAAACAGGATGTAAAACCACCAGTCCTTGAGCTGCATTGTGGTCATCTGCATTGTTGAAAAGTTTTGTCCACACAGTACACGTTTTTTGGGCGTTGCTGAAACCGTTGGTTGCCCGTCCCGCACTCATGTTGCTGCTGTGATAGGTTATTGTCTTTTACAAATTAGAATAGCGATATTTATTTATTTATATATGCATCTACGTAGTTGGTTTACGTCATGTTATTAGAAATGGCAGTACGGGGATTCAGCCGCTAGGTGGCAACTGCAGCATTGCTTTGATGATCCGGAGTAAGAGAGAGAGAGACGCCTGTTAGCATTGGACACAAGAGTAGACGACAGGCAGAGGTAGCTCAAATGACAGAGGACAATTATTTACTCATTCAGTTTCTCAACAGGGATAGCTACCCCCCCCCCCCCACCATCAACAAAAGCAGTGGCCATTTATCCCTGCGGCT